CTGCTGTCCTTGTGTGTGTATGTGTGTGTGTGTGTGTGTGTGTGTGTGTGTGTGTGTGTCTGTCGGCGGGGGAGGAGATCACAGACTCGGGCTCTAGTAGGGTGTGGACGCTGGAAGAGTGTCGGTCCGGACTGTCCCAGTCATCACTGTTGGTCCACTCCAACTAAAAAGCGGCCTTCTAAACAGGTAATGATGGTTGTTATGATCGATTGAGTGTGAGAATCGTGTGTCCAGTGACTGTGGGCGTATATGTCTGCTAGCAGCATTAGCGCACTAGCTCACAACAGTACAAAACTACTGTTGTATAGCCATAAATAAAGTGTGGAGTCAAAAAATCATTTCATTGTGCATGATTAAGTAAATTGTAATTCAGACCGTACGTTTTTTTTCTTTTGGTTCACCCATAGTTAAGAGTCTTTAGTCACTTCACTCTGACTGCAGTGTCTGTTAGCTGCGCGGCTAATGTCACTCTACTGAGAGAACACACGTATCTGTCTGTCTGTCTGCACATACATTTCTGAACACCTACTGTATCTATCTATCTATCTATCTATCTAAACACTTTCTTGTCTCTCTGTCTAAACATACCTGTGTATGTTCATGCATAAACACACCTTTCTAACGGTTTGCCTGTTTGAACCATTCAATCTGTCCACATGTATACTTGTCTGTCTCTCATTCTGTGTATTTCTTTCAGTATATTTTGCTGTCTTGATGTCGGTCTGTCAGTTGAAACAAAATCTGTCTGACATCTACCTGTCGTCTGTTAAAACATGTAACTGTCTTTTTCAGTATCGACCTGTCTGTCTCTCTGTCTGTGTGTTTAATTATTTTCCTCTTTCTATGATTATTAACTATCATGTTTGCCTGTTAGTGTCTTTGTGAGCGAATGCATATTTAACTGAATCAGTAGCAGCCAGCTTTTGTCTCTCTTATCTAATTTGTTTGTCATTTTCTCCAAGTGAACACAGTTGTTTCCCTTTCTGACTGTTTTTGTTCTGTTTTTGGAAAAAAATCTCTCCTGTATCCCATCTCAACACACTCTGCAAAGTATATATACAGTGCATAACAGTTCATATAAGAAATAGCTTCTTAAGTATAGTTAAGATACACTTTTGTTTTTTAATAACACAGCCTTTCTTTAATTCTCTAATAAAATAGACAAGTAGTTTTTCATGAGTACGACAGGTCTTTGCGAAGACCTCTTAACTAAAGTATGAGTTGGAGTGATGTCAGAGTATTAAAGAAACACATTCTGTTGGCAGAGGGTTGTTTTTGACTCAGTAAGGGAGTGATACGTGTGTTATAACAGGCCAAAACTTGTATAATTACACGGGTATTCATCACCTATCAGCATTTAATGAACAAATATTTGAACCCCTTGCTTAAACTTGAGGTCAATTAAAGGAATAGTTCATCCAAAAATTCTAATTCTGTCATTTATTCTCCCTCATGTCATCCTAAACCTGTGTGACTTGTATATTATATGTATGTCTGTTCCTTTGTGGAGCATTAAAAAAAAATAACGGTGTCCATTATTAAGAAAAGGCATTTTTTTTTATTCTCTTGGCATTTAATTTGGTTTCACGTGGTTTTGAAAAATGTAATTTAATTTAATGACTCTAAAAATGTCATGTGGTATTTTCTTTACAACAAATAAATTTTAAACAGTACTTTCCAATATAATGAATTAGTAGTTCATAAATATAATTTATAAAGTCTTCTTTGGAAATAGTTTTGTAAAAAAAAAATTTGAGGAAAAAATAAGGTATTTTCAATTATATAATTAGATAAATATAATGAATAAATTAATAGATAATTTAACTTTTAATTTCTGGTGAACTGTTCTTTGAAACTACTTGCGTTTTTGAGTTTTAGTCATTGTTTCCTGGTGACCTGAACTGTGACAGTATGTTTTGTGCAAGCTGTGTTCAAGACAGCTCATCTGAGCTTCCTTCTTCTCGTTTCTCTGCAGTGTAGCGCAGACACCAGACACTTGCCCTGAGGCTGTGAAGAGACTGTCCCATCGCACCCTTCCCGTGGCTGGATGTTCTGTCAGACCCTCGCCTGTCGTCTTTAGGGTACAGCAGCATCAGACGCCTCTCCCAGGACACTCCTGGTAGGGGACGAACGATTCCTGTAGCGTGAGAGGAGAGAGGGTGCCGAGATGGATGACATCTTCACTCAGTGCCGTGAAGGCAACGCGGTAGCCGTCCGCCTCTGGTTGGACAACACAGAGAACGACCTAAACCAGGGGTGAGTGTGTTTTTGAGCATTGTATGAATTTGAGTCATAATATGAATTTTGTCAGAGCTGTTATTAGGTAGATTGCAGTGTGTTTGTAGAGACCACTTATTTGTGGTTTTGTACAGTCTTGGTTTGACAGTTAGCTTATTTTCTCATTCAAAGATTAACTTGGATGCTGTCAGTAGGGAGTGGATTCTTTAGTGTCCACGCCCCCTCCAAACTTTGGGAAATTCAAAATGTATTTTGATTAAACTGTCCTGTTTGTGAGGATCTTAGGTCAGGTCTTTTCCCTTTGTTCACCCCTTTCGGTGATTTTATCACTTTTTGTCTGTGTTGCGGATTTCATTCCGGTTTTTGGCTTGTCGTGGCATACACAGCTTTTAGATTTAAATCAGATGGTTTTGAGGCATTAAAGAGATTCAGTATTAGATTATTGTTCCTGTATAATTCTGCTGTTACTAGTTTACATTTGATGCCAGAAAAAAACAGGTCTTTCACCCATACAAAACATGCCGCCATATTGCTAAGGTGTTCTAAGTGCTTTTTTTAAGTTCTGCCTCATGGTTGCAACGGTGTTCTGGGCAGTTGCTAAGTGGTAACCTAAGTCAGAAGAGCCAATTTTCATATATATATGATAGGGGTGTGCACAAATAGTCGAATGTTCAGTCTGGAATTATTAATCGAAAAATAAAAACTCTGTTCGAATTTTACTATGTGTTGCTTTGCTGGCGGTCCATGCAGAGAATCCATGATAAATCCTAAGCACGCAAACTAAAAGTCAGTTATAACTAAATGCACTGGGTGGCGCTGTGGAGCGTGTTAATAAGTTGATTGTATTTGATTACAGAATGTCATCGTCTGCCTCACGAAGTTTGGAATTATTTTGATTAGGGCTGTGTGATTAATCGAAATTGAATCGCAATCGCGATTTGAGACGTTGCGGTTTGCTAATCGCAAAGCTTGCGACTGCTCTAGCCAACTGCGTAAACGCCCACCATTAAAAACAAACAAACAAACAAACAGAAATCGGGAGAGAGAGTGTGTGTGATTATGGTGCCTACAGGGTCAGATCGATAGTTAGGCAAATTAATACTAAAGAAAAACGTATGTAATATGAGATTACTTTGGCTTCGAAATGACAGACACCAAACAAAAAATGTAACGTTAATTTGCAAGAGCTGTGTCACAACACATATCAAGAGCTCCCTTATTGGTTATCCTTTCAGTACTGGAGAATAAAAGATATATTCTTAGATGTTTTTATTAGTGCATGAATGTTATCTTGCACATTTTATCTCCCCAACAGATTCTAATTTGAAAGAAGTTTATAATGCATGTTCGCTATTCCCAATTCAGAAGAGCGCACACACAGCCTGTGTCTGTGAATGCTTCTCATACTCGCTCCTCTCTGCCGCGTCTCACGGAGGAGCCGTTTACACTTGCCGCACACACGCAGCCTGTCTCGTAATGCTCGGTTATACTCGCGCACAGCTCCGCACCGCACGTCTCCACGAACGCATCTGGCAATATGGACAGCTTGACGCACACGCGAAACCTGTGTCAACTCGCGCCTGGCTCCGCATTTAAAACAAGTGTAAATTCAGTCTAACCGCTTTGCTAATTTCACTTGGATGAAATGAAACATTCAGCACATTTTCCACTTGTTCTTAAAATCCCAAATACTTAAAAATGAATAAATCAGCCTATGTAACCTATGTAATACTTTAATAATTTACTAAAGTAATACAGTTCTTTATTTATAAATTATAAAGTAGTAATAACATTATAATATTCCCTGCTGAAAAAAAAAACAATAGAACCCCTCCCAAAACACACTATTGACAATGTTAAGCTGAAGCTTGACTTTGCAAAATTAATCGCAAATCAAATCGCAATATCTGTCAAAAAAAAATCGCAATTCGATATTTTCCCCAAATCGCACAGCCCTAATTTTCATCTAAATGATCTTACTAAATGATCTTACAAAATGGAATTTACTTTTGATCTAGGGATGTTCATTTTAACCGGTTAACCGTTAACCGACCGGTAAGAATTTTGACCGATTAATACAATCAGTTAAACGGCTTAAAAAGTCATTTATTTATTTATTTTCAGTAATTTATCAAAATATTTAAAAAGGTTTGCTGCATGGTTAAAATACACTACGTGTATAAAAAATTTGTTTTTTAGAGAAAAAAAAAACATAAGGCGCGTATAATAAGTCGCATTTTATTATTTCATTCAGAAATAGGCCTAATGCCGATGCGAAATGTTTACAAACATTATAATAAACACTGTAAACATAGCTAGGCTATTTTAGTTCCCCTCACTCCACAACAAATCCTTTCAATTAACAGTATTTAGAAAAGAACAAGAATAAAAAATATAAGAAGTTATAGCAATATAAACGACAAGCCAAAACGAATTAATTAGGCTAAAACGAAACTGAATTTTTTCCTTCTAACAGTGGAAGCAACTACTCCTTTTAGTCATAAACAGTGGAAGCAACCACTCCTTTTAGTCATAAATATAATCGGAATTGTAAATCGTAATTGTTTGCATTTATTTGTGTACATTCACAATAAAAACAAATCTTTGTTTGTAAAATAAGCCTAAAGAAAAATAGGATGCCGCTTTCTGCCATCTGGTTTCCTTTCACGCAGCACAAAAATGAACTGAAACTCTGGATATTGGATATATATATATATAGTCTATATTATGTTTTTCTCCGCTCGCAGAAGCGCTGCAGGTGCGTGATGTGATATGAAAACCATGTGAATCCTCATGTTCTGTTGTTTGCTGCTTTTTGGCATGTAAAATTAATCCCCGGGAAATAAGCCTGTCGCAATAATCAATATATCGACTTATCGCGCAATATATGTACATGACCTCAATAATTTTTGGTGACGCAATATATCGCCCATTATATTTACTTAAAAAT